AGACGCATGTATAAAGTAAGTGCAAGAGTCAGATGACTCACGTTTTCTCACTGTGTGAATTTGGTCCATTTCTAGGGACGGATACTCCTGGTACCAGCCGAAAACCCTGTACGCCTTCCAGTACAAGCAACCCATAATCGGATACAAACAAACATATGGGCATAGAATTATCCGTCAGGGAGGATACGGAGGTTACGGAGCTGGTGCCGGACACGCTAACATTGGCTATGGTGCCACCATCAGCCACGGGGCCCATGGTGCCGGCTATGGCGGTAACACTCTTGGATACGGACACAACAACCTCGGATATGGTCACAACAACCTTAGATACGGTCACAATAACCTTGGATACGCTCAGAGCAACCTTGGATATGGCCACAACAACCTCGGATACGGTCACAACAACCTTAGATACGGTCACAATAACCTTGGATACGCTCAGAGCAACCTTGGATACGGTCACAACAACCTGGCATACGGTCAGAACAACCATGGATACGGCCTCGTCAGCCGTGTTCATTAAATCGTGGAGCACGTTTAGACCAAATATATCTTATTCGGGAATCTTTTTTGGGATTTCACCTGTGATTAGTTAAGCAATGTTATCTTTCTATGAGATAGCATTAATCTTAGCTGCATAACTAGCAGTAACATGCTAGATTAGATATCCACATGATGCCTGCAGATGCCACATTTGTTGATTTTGTTGAAGTGTTATCACATAGATTGCCATTATGCTGCATATATAATACTTGTAAATAATTACAATCTAGTTGCTTTTTACTTAATTTAAATTTAATAAATTATTGACGAACGTGTGTAACAAGTCACCTATAGTTGTCTTTGTTTATAATTATCTACTAACTTTGATTATGCCGGTAAGTCAATCAAATCGATGTGACAACGTAATGCAAGACCGTGGCCAAAGTAACTCATTTTGGCTATGGGGACAAATCCACACAGCTGACAGTGGGCAATTCGTCGTTGCCGCTGCCAATTAATGCGTGAGGGTGGAACAGCCCGCTCTGTCTGCCCCCCCCCCCGTGAGCTACGACCCTGAATAGGCCTACACATTTTTATTGACATTATACACTAGTAGTGATTACATCTGATTACATGCATACTCAGAAGTAGATATTTAATCACTTCAATAATTACAATGCATAAGAATCTTTTCACTCTCCAAACTTACTTGCAGTGAATTATAGAGTCGGCCGTGTCGGCATGCGTGCCTATACTATCTGCTAACGCGAATCACCTTTTGTTGGAATTATATGTGATCAAAAAAAGAGTTGACCGTGGGCAGTTCGCCGTCGACGTTGCCAATGCCCGGGAGGGGGGGGACTATATCGCCTTTGCCCCCGCTACCTGCGGCCCCGTGTAATGCACTCATTTCAGACCCCCAATGACACTATAATTGAAATATGCTGCGAAGGGAACACAGAAACGATTGCGCAAGCAAAATCAACATTGATTACAAATAATTTTTCTTTTTTCCCTTCTACCATCCTCCCTCTCTTCGTCCATCTCTTCCGTCTATCCTTCCTTCCTTCGTGAAGCCAAAAAAACCAACGAACGAGCAAGTAAATGAACGAACGGACGTGAAAATATACTGAAGCGAAAATTGCGCGCACGCAAAGCTGTTTATACTTAAATTTGCGTGTTTTTAAGCTACGTACGTACGTACGTATTTCGTACGTGATTTCTCCTGCACGATCGATCGATCTTCTGCTATGCACGAGTCTTTGTAGGGTCTGCAACGAAGATTGGAGTTATGACTGTAATTGTTACGTTCTTTTCTTTGATTTCGCTATTTCTTCAGGGAAGCATATTTCACCTATTTCACCAACGAAGCGCCTGGAAAGTCACATTGCTGAGCCATGCAGGCAGTGGCGGCACCAGGGGGGCATGTGGGGCATTTACCCCCCCCCCCCTCGAGTCAAAGCCTTTGCCCACAGTCAGCTCCTGTACAAAGAAAGGTACACAGTTCACAGGAGCAATGACAAAATTAATTTTACTCCATATGCCCAAAATATTGCCTTTCAATCTTTGGGGTTTAATCCTAGTCTATGTAATTTGAAGTATTCTTATCGAGTGGCAAACCTCCCAACCCTTCCGATTTGGGCGGAAAATTTCTGCTTTCTTATTCCATTTCCGCCACTACGATTTTCCCCTTTATTTTTCCGCGAAACAGCAATTTCCGTGGATATAGCTTTTATTTACAACACTATAGCGCGCTACAGTAAGAAGAAGTTTTATTAGAATTAGTACAATTAGAGTACAGTACAATTAGAAGTTTGGATATGGATCAGAAGTGCTCTACAAGCGTGTTTATTACTGTTATTTAGTGTTTAAGGCATACCGAGGCTTGATTTTTCACCTCAAAACTGCTACAAAAAGCCCAGAGCTTCATTAAACCGTTACTAACGTTAGTATCAGTCAAGGCCTATAGACCTATATATTATCACTTAGGCCTTGGTATCAGCATAGAAGATCTTCTTCTATACCTAAGGAATATATCTAGGGATATTCTATATATCTAAGGATATGGTATATCAGCAATATCAGTTAGGTCAGTTAGGGTCCTAGTATCAGTGGACTATTACAGCACAGTGGCGACGTCCTGCGGGAGGAAAACCGCGTAGCAAAATCAAAACATGGATGCCCAACCGCTAGGTCGTTCTGGGCACATGTCGACATTTCTTGGCAAGTACTTAATCGTTTTGGGTGGATTTTCGGTACGTAACTCTGCATTTAGTTTAAACGTGACATACATTACTCGCAGCGTGTTTGTGATAATTCTGAAACCATGTAAACAGCCTTAACCCACCGCCTTGGACTACGCGCAGCGCAGTGGGCCCTGGCCTAGGCTTAGCCATGCATGATGATGATGTCGTTGTACCCAAACTTGGAATCTTGCACACACTTGGCATTTCAGCGCATCCGCAGTTTGGGCAACCAATCTTGAGATTGTGCAAAACCTAGTTTGGGCAAGGTGAGCAGGGGTTGCACAAACTTGGAATCATAGGCTACGAAATGTTATATCATTACAATGACTGAGTTCCCATATATCTTATTTCTTGACGTGATGCGGCCATGATGCCGAGGCTCGCCGAGGATTGACACTGTGTCTTCCAATCACAGTCTACGCCGCTGGCTGACTTGCCCGATACGTAGTTTTGCACAATCAAGTATTGGGTTGCTCCACAACTCTGCACGGATTAGCGCTGAAGCAGCCAAAGTTTGCTTCAAGATCCTCACAGTTTGGCTTAACAACAGCAGGCACTCGGCTACACAGCCGTACACTATTCAGAGACACAAACACTTACTTCCTTAATTACCAAGAACAAGTGCTTGATCATGTTTGTTTAAAACTTTTAAGTGTTTTAATGAAAGGCATTTTAAACCATTTGTCTTTTTAAATTGATTCAATACTGGTATAGGAACAGGACATGAATTATACATTACAGCAAAACTTTCACAGCAGTTACTACATGATCATAAACATGATAATATGAATACTATGGTAGAATTGTATTATACAAAGTAAGATTTAATCATTAACATCTATGCCCTATTTATTAAACCGATTATCCGATTATAATCGCATTATTCGATCGGTAAGCGGAAACCAATTAATCGATTATGAAATTTCAGCCCGATATCCATCACTAAAGTCTACTACTACTACTACTACTACGTACTACTACTACTACTACTTACTACTACTCTGACTACTACTATACTACTTACTACTAATATTACTACTTATACTGCCATGCTGCTGCTGCTGCTGCCTGCTGCTGCGTGCTTGCTGCTACGCTGGTTGCTGCTGCTGTGCTGCTTGCCTACTGTGCTGCTGGTTGCTGTGTGTGTTGCTGCTGTTGCTTGCTGCTGCTGCTGCTGCTGCCACTCAGTCCGAGACTTCTGCTCGTCGAGCGCGACGCTCCCTTAGAGAATCAAGCGGTAGGCGTTACGGACCTTGTTATTCTCAGCGCGTAGACGATCGGGTTGCTAGGCAGAGTTAGCGTAGAATGGCCGCCATGTCACGCGCCCACACGCGCAGGTGCGGCTACGCAGCCGCGTCCGCCCACAGCGAGTTGATGATCAAACGACGAGAAATATCGGCCCACGACAGCGCGAAGCAGTAGCAATATCAAGCTCGATCGTCACCACCGCCTTGCTGTTGCGTGTGCTGCCTGTGGGGTCGTTGGTGTGGCGCGGTTGGGCGTGTGTTGCGATTTCTCCTGCCCGGAGCCGTCACTTGCATCGCCGGGGTGCGCTTGTGCTGCCACCTGGCGGGACTGCCGCCGGCCGCGCTTTCCATATCTTAAGGTAGGTAGAGTCAACGAACAGCGCCACGCCGAATGGCGAGATGGCGACCGCGTCATCTCCTGCGTGGCCGCCGCCGGTTCCATGGGGAACAGCACGCAGGGCGCGCTGCCGACGAGACGACGACGCCGGCGATGCCCGCGAGCCAGCCACGTCGCCGCGACGCCCGCCGGCCAGACGGCGGCGCCGCAGCAGACGTGGCCGTAGGCCATTCGGAGGCAGGATTGGCGCACGTATTTCTGCCATGGCCAACGGACGAACAAGATGAAAGAAAGCTGCACGACGACAGGTAGGACGTCCAGTTCGAGTCAGGAAGGCCTTCCAAGAGCGAGCATTCGATACGCATGCGCGTCGGGGTAGCCCGGCGCCCACAGATGTCGCCCTCGGCGAGATGGACTGTATACCGTAGAGGCAGCTCGCAACGCGGCGAGCGAGGCGAGTATGTTAGTAACCGTAGTTCATGCAGCGCAGCGGTATCTACTGGATGGCCAACATTACACGCGGTTTGCCACGACGCTAGCGATTCCCTGCTAACAGCAGTAACGGTTAGCCGCAACAACGCTGGATCCGTATATGTGAAGCCTGCACCACACCACCAGCACCACACCACCAGCCATCACCATGGACTACTGTCGAATGCTGTGTGCGTAGTGTTGAACGCCAAGCGCGGTTTCGTTTGTGATAGCCTATAGGAGCGACTGATTCACGTTGTGGTTTTCAAACCGTTGAGTTTCTCGCTTTACGCGTCATAGCAAGTTTGCATGTATAATCCACCAGCAGCACCTCCATTACCGAGCTACTACTGTCAGAGATGCGACGTTCTAACATCGTCTGGGTTCCGTAGCGTGAACGCAACCGGGTTTCGTTTGTGCATAGTTTGCTACTGTTTTGCATCTGTTGAGTATCTGTTGCTACTGTTGCTGCTGCTGTTGCTGCTCTCATCTGTTGCAGTCTGTTGCATCTGTTGCTACTGTCTGCCATCTTGTGCTATCTGTTGCTACTGTTGCATCTGTCGCCGATCTGTTGCTACTGTTGCTACAGATGCGAGAGACAAGCCCGTGTTAAGCCGCTGGCAGTACGGTGTAACACGGCACGTGACAGGTATGTAGTAGTAGCGTCACAGGAGCGTATGATACTGGGGGCGTCTTAACAGTAGGCACCGCCCCGCATTGCACGCGCGTTCCAATCACGCGATTCGGCCACCGCGAAGTGGTTCTAGAGCCAAGAGCTGTCCAATCAGCGTCCGCTGATCGAAATCTTTCTAAAGCGAAACGTCGCTAGCACCGCCAGGAGTGTCGCGACGTCGCGCAATTCCAATTCCTGGCAGCGAGATGAAATTGATAGACAATCTAGGGTGCAGACCGAGCGAGGCGTATACCGTTATACACGTTGGGTGTGCTGGTAAGGGGCGCCGCGTTGGTTAGCTCGAACAGGCGGACGCCAGCTTTGACAGCGACCTCTGGTTTGGTGATGACAGTGTGGCCGGCTCAGCCTCACGTCAACAGATTGCCCCCACAGATGTTGCGTGTGGCGATCTGAACGCGCCATATATATATATCAAGAATACATAATAGAGGGACCTATTCTATCAATTAATAATTATCTATTACTGTACTCTTGATATATATAATATCTATATATATATATATATATATACTATATATTCATGGTGCTGTGTGTGTGGTGTGTGCGGCGTGCGTGTGTGTGTGTCGTTGTGTGTGTGTGCCGCGGTGGCTGTCAAGCGTGTGGTGTGTGTGTGTCAGCACCTGTGTGTGTGTGTGCGTGTGTGTGCTTGGTGTGTCTGTGCCCAGGCATCTGTGTGATTATAAGTTCATGAATTCCGGCACATCATCCATGTTTAATGGTCGGCAATAATTATCTGTGTTTGGTGGGTAGGTGGTGCATGGGTTGGGATGGCGGGGGTGGCTGCGTTGCGCTTTTTCTGGCTTGTCTGCGGGCTCTGTCCCGTCGTGTAGGCCGTGTTTGTGGAGTAACGCATGCACGCCGACATGAAAACTTCCACAAAGCGCCGTATTTCCCGATTGAATAATAATTCATGTAACTGCGCTCTCCGAGAGCTGAGAGCGAGAGAGAGGCAGGGCAATAGGCAGCAGTGGAGGAGAGGGACGGAGGAGAGGGAGAGGAAAAAGAGAGGGGAGAAACGAGAGAGAGCTGGAGGCGAGGAGCGGAGAGAAAGAGAGCGAGCGACGAGAATAGAGAGCGAGAGCGAGGAGAGAGAGAGACGAGGCAGCGGGAGAGAGGGAAACAACGAGGAGGAGAGAGAGAGAGACAGGAGAGAGAGAAAGAGAGAGAGACGACGGACGTATGAGGGAGAGAGGCGGGAGAGAGGATGAATGAGCGAGCGAGAGAGGGGAGCTGGAGGGAGGAAGAGAGGCGCAGGAGCGCGCGGCGGGCCGAGCGCGGCCCACAGTCCGCGGGAGGGCGCATTGGGAGAACCGACCAGCCCTCCGTGGGCCGCGGCGCTTAGCCGCAGCGGTCCGCCCGGCCTCGCCGATAGAGAGAGAGAGAGAGAGAGAGAGAAAACGGACACAAGAGAAGCGATGCGAGGAGACGATGTCGGAGTGGAGCGAGAGGGAGTCCGAGCAGCCGGACCTGCGAGACGACGAGAGAGAGCGAGACTATGAGACGAGCAGAAGACAGAGTGAGAGATGAGAGAGAAGACGAGACGGCGAGGTCGCAAGGGAGATGTGAGGGCCAATGAGGAGGAGAAAAGAGAGAGAGGAGAGATGTGTGGCATTACCCCGAGGTGGAGAGATGCGAGAGAGAAGATGATGACGAGCGAGTGGGGAGAGAGAAACACGAGGAGGCGAGAGAGAGAGAGAGAGCGAGAGGAGAGAGCGGAGGATCGGAGACCGAGCGGAGAGAGAGAGAGAGGAGAGAGGATGGAGAGACGACGATAGAGAGAGAGAGAGGAGAGAGAGATTGAGAGTGGAGAAGAGAGAGGAGGGAGAGAGGACGGACGAAACAAGTAAGCGAGGAGGAGAGCTGAGAGAGAGAGAGGATGAGAGGCCGGAGAGAGAGGAGCCCCGGGCCCGCGCGAGAGAGACGAGAGAGAGAAGGAATGAGCCGAGCCGAGTCGGCCGAGAGAGGAGAGAGGGCGGGCTGCTTCTCGGGACGTTCGCAAGTTGGTCTACCTAGGGTACTCATGAGAGCAGAGAGAGAGAGAGAGAGAGAGGGAGAAGAGAGCGAGAAAGAGAGAGAGATAAAAAAGGGTAAGCTGTGTCTGGTGTATACCTTCACCGGGAACGTACGTGTGTTGTCTGGAGTGTTCACGCGGAAGTACGTGCTGCAGCTGTCAGAGCTGTTCAACCACGGAACCGGTACGTTGGGTGTCGAGTGTTAACCGGAACGTACGTGTGTTGTCAGAGTGGTTCACCGGAACTAC